CCTATGCTCGTGCTAAAATACGATCGGTAAACGTAAAACACTTGTTGAATAAATAAAAGTAAAATACAAAAATAGTCTCTGGTTACATGTAATTGATAATAATTATCGTGTGTTATCATAAATAAATATAAATAATATATCGATTTTTACATATTTTTTTTAGTTATTCAAGTTATATCTTCTGTGATAAAAGTGTTCAAAAGGAGACAAATTTAAAGATGCCAATTTTGGCTCTAGATATCAAAACAGTGAAATTAATCACTACTACGCAAGTAATAACTTCTGTTTATACTACAGTTAAAGAATTAATAGAGAATGCACTTGATGCCAATGCAGACAACATTGAAATCAATCTTGTATGTAAAAAGTTTATATTCAATATATTTGTAAAATATATCTTTAAAAAAATGGATTATTTTTATGAATGCCTTTTGTGTCCTTTTAGGTAGATAATGGTACATCATTGATAGAAGTGAAAGATAATGGTTATGGCATATCTAAAGATGATGCACAATATATGGGTTTACCTTCCTATACATCTAAAATATCTAGTTTTGAAGACTTAAGTAATATTTTATTTAGAAATGTACTAATTATCAAAAATATATATACCTATATTATATACTATAGTATAAAACACTGACAAGCAAAATAATATATATAGTCTAAGCAATAGATTAAATTGTAATATCTTTTGTTATGTACAGATGTATTATATACATTTGGATTCCGAGGAGAGGCACTTAGTGCATTGTGTGCAGTGGCAGAAGTTACCATTATAACAAAAACAGTGGAAGATATTGTTGGGACTTCTTATACAATGAATCATGATGGACAAATCATAAAACATGAACCTTGTCATAGAAGTACTGGTAAATCTTAGCTTACTTTCTCTTTTAAAATTATACAATAACATTATACAGAGTATAATCATCTTTTCATGCGTTTTCATAAAATATTAATTTATTAGGAACTACAGTACAAGTGAGGAATTTATTCAAACACATACCTGTGAGGAGACAAATAATTATTAATACAAGAAGAGCTAATCAAACTATTAAATTATTAGAGACACTGATACAAAGTTTTAGTATATGTAAACCAAATGTGCGAATCCAATTCAGGGTAAATAACAGTGTTATATTTACAAAACCAAGTTTAAATGATATTAGGGAAGCTGCAAATCATGTACTTGGTAGAAAAATTACATCTAACATGGAATGGATTGAATCTAAAGATATAGAAGTAAGTATATTTTTAAGTAATTTAAAAAATAAATAATATGTATTCTTTATATTTATAAATAGTAACAACTTTTGTACACAACCTATATTTTGATCAATTTTCAGTTTGCTTTGCAATTAATGCTGCCTTCAAAACAAGTGCAGGATTTATCAGAAATTTCACATTTTGGATTACAGTATATTTTTGTTAATGATAGACCTATTAAACATAAAGGTCTTGAAAAGGTATATTCTATTTACTAGTTTTATTAGATAAAGTTTAAGGTTTAAAGAAGCAAACTCTATATTATATTTTATTCAATGTATCTTTGTGTATATTTTCTATAAATTCATGCTTATATCACAATTTAATAAAAAAATTGACTTTTTTCTTTGTTATTTACATAAATGCAGGTAATAAATAATTCAATAATAGAATATTATGAACAAGAATCATGCAGAAAGAAGGTTGTATTTATTGTTTACATTGTGTTGGGACCAATGGATATTGATGTCAATTTAGAACCAAATAAAGATGTAATTCTTTTCAAAGATCAGGTAAAATAATAAGTATGTAACATATATGTATATACATATATCACAAACTGTTATAATATTTTTAGAATAAAGTCCTTAGTACCATAGATAAATGTATAAGAACATTCTATGGACTTAAATTTGTAAATATAATTGAGCAAGATGTATCTGATGACATAACTACTGATTACGATTGCACTCTAAATATGAATGAGGATACTAATGGAATTGAATCTGCTTGTAAAAAACGAAAAATACATATCCAAGAGAAAAATCAGGAGGATGTAATCAAAGAAAAAGCAATACTTAAGCATAATAATACCACCACAAATAAGTATGAACAACAGGACAAGCAACATGAGATTGATCAAACTTATAATCAGCAGCATTATAGAGATGCAACAGCTCATATACAATCACCGAATTTAAGTGATTCTGATTCAAATGATGCTTTTTCTGTTCCAGTTTCATCTAATAATAACATATCATTGTATGTTTTCAATATATGTATGAAAAGTTTTTTGGTCTTTAGTATTAATAGATTTTTGAATATTCATTTGTTATTAGATAGTACAAAAATTAATTTCTTTTTTTTCATAGTAGGAGAGAAAATGTAAAGAATCTTGTAGAGAATACATTTATATATCGAGAATATAGAAAAAATATACTAAAAAATAATATTTTGAAAAAATTGAAATTTATTTCTAAACAATCTAGATATAATATCAGTATTCCTCAATTACATTAAATAAACACAAGTAAACATACATTTTTTAAGTTAGTAAAATAAATTACAGAAAAGAAGAATGTGAAACTTTGAGTCAGTTACCTGTAGTAGATCTTGGTGAAGACTTTGATTTTGTAGAAGAGAATTTAGAAACTGAAAACTTGAATATTCTTACGAGTGAAGATAAGAATAATTCAAATGAGATACAGAAGAATAAACAAATTTCATTAGAAACCTGGAGCAAAGGGCATATCACTGGTCTCAAGGTAAAAATTTTTTATAATTTCATGATATTTATATATATATACATTTATTTTTTTTAATTTTGTTTTGCTTTGATTATATTTCTAATACTATTGTCAAATATAATAGGGTGGTACAGATGTAAAATCTAGTATTGCTGTTGAAAGACAGTCAAGTGACAATTTTACTAAGGAAAATAATAGGATATTAGAATCAAGTAAAACACATGTTGATCATAAAGAACTTAAATTTCTAAAACATGTTAGATCCCAAGGTATGTATTATAATATAAGCATAATTCAAAAATTATTCTTTTGTATATTTATATCTAATAATGTTATTGGAGTAACTCCTACATAAAAACAAAATTACAATAATATTAATTACTGTCCCTCTTTTACGGTTAGTCGTAAAAGAAAATCCTACATTGACAACAGTGCAAACAGCAAAAAAAATTACCGAATTCTGGAAGCAATTGTCGTCCGAGGAGCGTGGCTATTATCGAGATATTGCAGAAGAAAAAGAAGGACATGAAACAGATAAAAAGTCTGAGGAAAGAACTGAAGCAAGTAAAATAGACGTGGAAAGAAATAAAAGTAGACTCTTACAATTGTTTGAAAAAATAAAGAATACAAAGAATGAGAAGAAAGAAAAATTGAAGATGAGGACAATAGTACCTTGGATTATTGATAGAAATAAAATAACAACAAGGTACATTTTTAATAACTGTATAAAATTATTTACTATATATTTGTTGGTACATTTTAATAACTGTCTTGCACACAGATCAGATATTGAAAACAATTATATAATAGGTCAATTATCATCTAATTTATGGGTAGCTACAATCTGTGAACAGATATGGATTGTGGATATTACAAACCTGATAAAAGGCTTAAAAATTACTAATATCAATGTAGATAAGGTATTTTATGAAATACTCTTTATTGTTGTTTTCTTGTTAACTACATATTAAGAATTTATGTGTAAAATAGTTTATTGCTATTATTAACACTGATATGTTGTAGATTGATGCTAAGAAAATTGAACAACTTCTTAAGCAATGGTTATTGGAACGAGATGATATGTCAGTAATGCATTCAATATATGAATTTATAAAAAAAATATAAATTTAATGCAACTGTTATAAGATATATCATTTTTTTAAATTAAGTGTTTTATATGTTTTAATACTTCATCGTGTTTTATGTATAATATTTACTCTTTGTGTATAGTAAAATTGTTTATTTTAAAATACCACTCAATATCTGTATATATCTTGATTTTAAATTTATAATATATAATAATTTAAATAGTAACTTAAAAATAATTTCATGTATATAAAATAGCATTTCATGTATATATAATGCACAAACAATTAAACATTTCTTCAATTAAGTTGAGTATTGTGTCTACGAATATTGTTTGGACAGTATATTTTTAAGAAGTTCGAAGAAAATTGTTCTACCACTACTTTAATTAGTCGATTACAGTTGTATAATTTTAAAAAATACACCAGTAACAACGTTATCCTGTAAGAAACAAGTGTGTCTGATTAACTTTCGAGTCAACTTAAATATTTCACTACTTTAATTGTTCTGTCAATATATATTAAATTTATCACTACCTTAATAAATGGCTGCGTTCAGCAGAGAAAGCTGCTTTGCAACTGTTGTAAAATTCGTGAATCTGATTGGAGTATGCTCTTAATTTTGATTAAATCCAAGAGCATACTCCTATCAGATTCACGAATTTTACAACAGTTGCAAAGCAGCTTTCTCTACTGAACGCAACCAATGTTGACGATGGCGTCTCGTAGCGAAAACTCTAGAATTAATGGCTGCGTTCAGCAGAGAAAGCTGCTTTGCAACTGTTGTAAAATTCGTGAATCTGATTGGGATATGCTTTTAATTTTGATTAAATCCAAGAGCATACTCTTATTAGATTCACGAATTTTACAACAGTTGCAAAGCAGCTTTCTCTGCTGAACGCACCCATTTTCACAAAAATAACAGGTCTAAGGGCTATCGCACACAAATTGACATAACTGCATATGCATAGCATAAGACCGTATGTACCAATGAGCATCGAGTATTAAGTCGCCATATTGATGTTCAATGCTTAATATTCGATGCTCATTGGTCCATACGATCTTATGCTATGCATATGCAGTTATGTCAATTTGTGTGCGATAGCCTTAAAACATATCGCATATAAAATGACATAGGCTGCGTTCCGTTTCACGCATATGCGTGCATTTATCTATAGTTCATGTTACGTACATGTGGCAATGCGCGCATAATGCGTGAAACGGAACGCAACCATAGCTGTATACATGGGTACGTTCAGATTCCCTACCCGGGTGCACTCTAATACTAGAAGTGCTATAGTATATGTAACATATACTATAGTGTTTCTAGTAATAGAGTGCACCCGGGTAGGGAATCTGAACGCACCCCATGATGGGTAGAGATGCCCGATTTTGAATCGATTCGATTCTTTCCTCAAAAATAGGCTTATTCGTGTTGTTTGCATTCTTCGTACTTTTTGTATTTAAAACCAGACAAAAGTATATTGGAATGTTTGGAAGAAGCAAAAGCGAGACAACCAACTCGATTGTTTCTTCCAAGCGTCTGATTAGGCGTCCATCTCTTTTTAAAAGCGAAAACTATGAAACATGCAAGCAGCACGAACAACTTTTTTTCCTTAAATTTGTTAGGGGAAGAATTAAATCGATTAATGGCTCCTGTATACAGAACGCGGTAATGTTTGCCGCGCGGCGGAAGTTCGCGCGACAGCCAATCAATATGTTGTTTTTCCGTAAGACTTAGAAAGTTTTACGGAAAGCAGCATATTGATTGGCTGTCGCGCGAATTTTCGCCGCGCGGCAAGCATTATCGCGTCCTGTGTGCAGGAGCTATAAGAATCGGGCATTTCTAACGATGGGTGCTTTCCAGTTGCGTACACTATGGGTGCTTCCGAAATGTCCAGGTTTGGGTCAAGTTAAGTTAGTTCCACTATAGTATCCGTCACATATACTATAATGGAACTAACTCAACTTGACCCAACTCTGGATATTTCGGAAGCACCCTGTGTTATACAAAACCAGTTTATTGACTGCATATTATTTTACAAGATATTTTAGATAATATGTGACGGGTGGGACCCGATTGACCACGATACGATTGGACACAGATTGTAATGATTGGTTCGACCTAGTAATTCACTAGATAATTCTTTTCATCGGTTGGTTGTGTCCAATCGTACCGTGGTCAATCGGGACGCTCCCATATGTGACCAATAAATTGGTTTTGTGTACGTTAGAACGTCAGAATCCAATATAAGGCTCTCCAATATAAGGAGCGATTAATGACGTTATAAGTCTCTATTAGCCAATCATAAAGCTCGTAAATACTTGTTCGACTAATAAACGTAGGCTGAATAACCCAAAGTAGGTTAACCCAGAGCCAGTCGAACATGCTATAATAGCTCCTGCACACAGGACGCGGTAATGCTTGCCGCGTCCTGTGGGCAGGAGCATTAAAAGACGGTGGGACCCGATTGATCACGATACGATTGGACACAGATTGTAATGATTGGTTCGACCTAGTAATTCACTAGATAAGTCTTTTCATCGGTTGGTTGTGTCCAATCGTACCGTGGTTAATCGGGACGCTGTCATTAAAAGAGAACCAGAATACGGGCCAATAGGAATAGGCATTAACCAATAAGAACGTGGAATGAAAATAATTGATCAATCTGAATTCCTATTCTCTGTTGCCTGGCATCGTGCATAGGGCTCACTTTGCAAACGTCATCCGT